CCACTGCCTTGCCTTTCAAAAGAAAGAAAACATTTTAATTTGCTGACCCCCCCCAATACAACAACTCTAGTAAGTGACAATAAACAGGCAGATTCATAATTCAAATGTTTTAATTTCATCAAATGTAGGTTATCAAGAATAGACATGTGAATATTGCCATGTGGGAATTTTACTGAGGTGATTATGAAAACAATGACAAGGCATGATTGATTGATGCCTTATGACTATATGCTGATGATTTATTGCATTTTTTTCATCTGTGCTGTGTTGCCTCAGTTTGGTCAGTTATTTCCACTGGCAAGGAAGGGACTTCAAGAATGAAACAAACTAAGAAACTCATACCTCTCTGTCTCAAACTGCTCAGCAATCTTATCGCAGGAATGTCAAGCTAACAGAAATGTTACAGGATTAGTATTCAGATCTTATTGGTAGAACTCAATGACCAGCAATCAAGTACAACAACTTTATAGCAACCTTTTAATGAAGAAAATAGAAAAGCGCACCTGATGGAAATTAAATGGAGTCTTCAGCACGGTGTCGACGTTATATGCCATAGGAATGTAGCAATCATCTCTTAGCTGTGTACCTAAAGATGTCTCTGTGCTGGTCATCTCCAAAACCAGGCTTTGATTAATATAGAGCGAGACTAGAAGAAGGATCTCTCTTCAGAGTGGCTTCAGTACCTATAGGGATACATAAGCAATGGTTATGGCCAGGGAGTATAAAAAAAGTGTTATGACAATCCATTTCACATTTGCATTATCACAATCCCTCCAAACCACAAAGTTGAATAATTACTATATTCTTATGAGCTACACCATGTAAATCTTACACATAACAGATAATGATCTGGGCCGGTGGCTTGTGTTCATGCAGTGAACACAAGGGCATTCTAAAAACACAAATAACACCAGTAATTTCACACTTGTCTAGTACAAATATGTCGCTTTGTTTCATAATTACAGTGTATACGTTTTTCTTTATTTACCCTCAAAAATGGGAAGTGAAAAGTGACAACATGCCCCGTAGGTGGGGTACACTGTAACAGCTGAGGGGCACGTTGTAACTTGACCATATAACAGCTTAAAATGTTATTTGATCGAATAAAAAAAAAATATACAAGACTAACTAAAATATTTTGTCAATAAAATAAAATAATTTTTTATTTCAAATAAAATAATGGCGTTTTTTAAGAATGAAAAATAATCTGATTTTGGAGTTTGACAATGAACACATTGCAACCATGCTTGGGACGGCCCACATAAACGAGCCAAAATGCTTTACATGTCTTGAAATAATAATTTCTTAACATTAAACATTGACTGTCAGTCTTTATTCACCTGTTTCTCGTCGTTTATAATAAAATGTATTAAAGTAAATAGTGTGAATTACATCGCTAATGTCATAGAATAGCACGTTGTAACGCAGTGTTACAACATACCCCATCTGCGCAACTGGAATTTAAAACTGGTTACTGTCTTCTGATAGTTAGCAAAGCATTAAAAAATTATTTAAACTGATTACAGATTGGAGATGAAAATAATAGCAGATTTGTCTAAATTTAAATGAGAAATAAAAACTGAGATTAAAAATTGACTTAAACCAGAAATATAATTTTACTACAGTAAAATAAATGTTCAGTGAAATCTTCAAAAGACTTTTGAATTTTGGCGCACTTGTTCTCTATATAATGGTGATATGGTAACTAGTAAATGCTGTAAATTTGGTTATGCTTGCATGTGTGGTGGAAATATTTAAACCACGTGTGTTACAATTTACCCCGCGTTACTTTGTGCCCCGTGCTCCCCCTACCTGCAACGTTGCTTTTTCCTATCACTTATATTGGGCACTTTTTGCATTTAAATTGGATTATTCTGACTGCTGACGTTTAAAAATGATGCATTTCTTGATTGCCGTTTTGACAGTGTCAGCTTGAATATTTTATTCATGTTAAATCCGTGTATCATTCGATCATTCGTTTTTGATTTAATATTGAAAGTAGAAAAATTAGAAAATGGCTCCTTTTTCGTTTTTTTGTTTTTTTTCCTAAAAACGAAAAACGAGAATTCAGCTTAAATTTTCGTTTTTCGTTCATGGGTGGAAAAATGAATAAACAGCTTGAATATTCGATTTCTACATGTGGGCGGGAATTAAACGCCCCTTTCTGCTGATTGGTCAGCCGAAGATCAAACCGTGCCCTGGCTGTTTGATGAAGAGATAAAATGTAGTAGAAATAAACATGTTAAGAATCAATAGAAGCGGAGGACTATTATTAAGGTTTTTTTAGGACTATTATTATGTTGTAATGTTTGGTTGACCAATTAGCAGAGAGGGGCGTTTCATTCCCACCCACATGTAGAGATCGAATATTCAAGTTGTTTATTCGTTTTCTATCCCTGAATGTAAAAACGAAAAATTAAGCCGGATTCTTGATTTTTCGTTTTGTTTGAATAATTGAAAAACGAAATATGTGCCCGTTTTTCATTTTTCAGATTTCAATATTAAAACAAAAATTGATTGGACGGAAGATACCCTGATTTACACGGATTATTATGTTCGGTAGCCTAATTCCCTTTAATGTAAGCTATTTGCCCCGATTTGATCCATTTACCTGGGAAATGTATCTAACGTTTGCCTATATAAATTATTTTGTGAACATTATTTTGTTTTAAGGAGTTAAAAATGGCCCTTATCAACCTTGATTTACATATTCCATCACATTATTTTGACAGTTAAAGTTTTGGGCGGTTTTTGGGCGGGTTTTTGTGAGTTTTTGGGCTGGAAATCGTCCATCCAATCTGGCAACACTGGGCCTCCCCCGACTCCATCACACCCGTGGCGCTAGGCGAGCCTCTCTGAAACAACACACGTAGCTGGCCGGTACAAAACAGCATAACAACCCACAAAACCGTAACAAAATACATAGGCCTATAGCACTTTGAAAGCGCGCAAACAATCAGAAACACATCGACTAACCGTTAAAGTTAAGAATAAGAAGACCCATCAGCCGCGCAGCTGACGCTAACGCATGCGCACATCAGAGCGAAGGAATTACGGCACCATAGCCCACTAAAAACTGCAGAAACAGCAAATAAAGTGGCCACAAATGCTGCTACCGAAATAAAACTATAAACACTATAATTCATTTAGTCTTTAATTAGTTGTGTGTTCTTGTGAACACCTAAATACCCTGCAAAAATCAGTCATTTTTCATTTATGTTGAGGCATAGCTCACTACTTAAGGAGATATTTAAAGAAATGTCATAATTCTGAAAGATAGCAAGATACTAAGATACATGGTGCTGTTGTGATATTGTACAATTTCCACTGGTAATAAAAATTATGTTGATATAATGTATGATGAAAGCATGCAAAATGCTTAAAATCATGTATCAAGATTAATGCAATTTTCATTTAAACCCAAAGATAACCGAAGAGGAGAATGTTATAATTCTACTGGTATTAAAGGAATAGTTCACTTAAAAATTTGCTGAAAATTGACTCTCAGTACAACCTAATGAGTTTGTTTCTTTATCTGAACAGGTTTGGAGAAATGTGCATTACATCACTTGCTCACCAGCGGATCCTCTGCAGTGAATAGGTGCCGTCAGAGTCCAAACAGCTGATAAAAACATCACAATAATCCACACGACTCGAGTCCATCGATTAATGTCTTGTGATGTTAAAAGCGGCATGTTTTTAAGAAACAAACATTTAACTTTAAACCGCAACGTCTGCCAAAATACTAGTCCATAATCCATAATAACACTTGCAGTGAAAAATCCTCTGTTGTCCTTTCACATCAAAATCCATCGACATATTTGTTTAGAAATGTTTTCATTTGTGAGGGGTGGTTGATCTGTGTATATTTCTCTCCTGATTCAGCGATGAGACAACATTTTTACTGGAGAAAGCAATATTATGAATAGAGGAACTGTATTTTAGTTGGTAGCAATGGTTTGAAGTTAAAATAGTCTTAATAATGGATTCATTTCTTACAAACACACAGCTTTTCACTTTACAAGACATTAATTGATGGACTGGAGTCATGTGGATTACTTGTGCTGTTTTTCATCAGCTGTTTGGACCACTGATCTATAATATATAATTATGTAGGTTTGGACTCTCATTCTGACGGCACCCATTCACTGTAGAGGATCCACTGATGAGCAAGTGATGTAATGCTAAATTTCTTCAAATGTGTTCCAATGAAGAAACAAGCTCACTGGATGGCCTAAGGGTAAGTACAATTTCTACAAATTTTTATTTTTGGGTGAACTATTCCTTTAAGAATGTGTAGATTTTTTTTTATAGCTCTGAAGAGTTACAGCACAGCATTTAGGTTAATATAAATTTAAATTCCTAAGATGAAATTGTTCCTGTGGTGGAACAATACATTATTTTGACTTGCTGTCTAGGTCGGATCTATAGGCAGCTCAATAGGTTTTGAGAGACAGAAAAATAAAAAGTAACCATGGCACAAATCCTCATATTTTGTAAGACTGATTCGTAATGCCTTTTCCTCTGTGTTAGTCACTGCTTCCAGCATTTTCCGTAAACGGATGCTGTGCATAGACGTCAGGACAGATAGAGGGAGTGAGAAAGAGGACATTTTGTAAAGAAAGAGAGAGAGAGAGAGAGAGAGAGAGAGAGAGAGAGAGAGAGAGAGAGAGAGAGAGCGGACACACACACACACACACACACACATACAGAGGTTTTTAGCGAGGTGCAGAAGATGAAGCGGTGATGATATGATTTGAAACATCCTGGCTCTTAGCATCACTTAAATCTACCTCACAAAAACAAACTGGAGTCTTTAAATTATTCCTTTTCATCTGCATGCAAACAGCCATAAAATGATGAAATCTACAGATCCCAGAAGCTTTTGCTCTTAAAGTCTAAAGCACGGCCCAGATCTGCTGTAATGAAACCGTTGTTTGTTTGTTTGTTTGCCGAGAGAGAAAACCTGAGAGAAAGAGAGAGAAAGAGAGAGAAAGAGCGATCAGAGGAGGAGGAGGAGACACACAAATACCTAAACAAGTGTCCAGTGTTGAAACGCAGGCCTTCTCGTTCATATTCAATATAACTTTCTTTCTCGTCAGGTTTATTATCTGTCGGACAGCTGGGATTCTGTTGGTCCATTTTAACGGCTTTTTTTTTTTGTTTCCGTTTCTGTCTCGTCGGATTTCTGGTGGATTTTCAGTGTCTGGCTAGCGAGCACAGCTAACCGCAGCTAGCCGGATCAATCTGTTTCCTCGGACTCAGGAGCCCATTACACACACAAAATGGCATTAAAACGAATTCACAAGGTAAAATATTATATTTTATGTTATTTATTTTACATTCACTACCAAAGCCATTTGGGTTTTTGCTTGGTATGTAAAAGATATAACGTCAGACGTTAGCAAATGCTACGAGGATAGCAGGCTTGGTTGTGAAGCTTGGCTGTTTTGGTTTTATAATAATAATATTTATTATTATTTATTTATTTTAATGTTGTTTGTTGTATTATTGTTTCCTTAAAATGCCAATGCTGACATTGTTATTATCTATCTATCTATCTGTCTATCTACATGGCTATCTATCATCTATGTTTTTATCTATCTATCTATCTACATGTAACACCCATAATAGCAGGTGCTTCATTGTAATACATAGTTTTACATCATTTCAATCTAAAATAACTATTTACAACATGTCTTGTATTAAAAAGGTGGAAATACTGGAATCAGATTTTACAAGGTGGATAAGGAGGATTTTATGCGGATGTGTTTCCTCTATGAATCACATCTAGTTAAACAGAACCTTATGTGATTTCTGATGGTGTGGATTCAGATGAATAATATTTCTGAATCATCTCAGCCACAGACATTACTGGTTGGGAGAGGATTTGCCTTAACTGGTTTAGGGCTAACACTGGCTTCTTATTAGTTCTTATGGGTTACTATTATTATCCTTTGTATTAGTGACATTCTTTCATTTTGGTAAATGCAAGAACTTTGCGTCATTGCTGTAAGTTCTTCCTGGAAAGCTACGAGTGCTCAATACTCCAGTTAGAAATATCCGGCCCATACCAGTGTTAAGTAGGCTAGTTGCGCAATAGTTGCTGAACTTGGTGACAGGATGGTTTTTCCCTTTTCTGCTGACTTTGAGAGCTTCTATGAACTAGATTGACACAGCAGATTGTTTGTGGGCTGACAGCCAAATACTTAGTTGGTCCCATATTCTGTGGCTTGTTACTCCCATATCAAGCAGTTTTCAGGGCTTTGGCTTGTTTAATAGGGATATGTGAAGCATGGCAGCAACTGAAAATTGAGCTGAGAAGTTTAGGACAGCAAATGCCAAGTGGGTGCACACAGATGTCTGGTTGAAAATACCAGCCATGTATCTCTCAAGTGATGGCAGGGCTGGTTTATTCCCAACACCTTCATCTGAAGTATTCAGGCGTAAAAATAGCTGCCACTGTTAGTGCTGATGTTCACACTGTCCTATATTGGTTAGCTGAATTGGTGTCATATATTGATTCTCGCGAAGGCTCACCTCCACCTGCGTCATCCATTCTGCTTTGATTAATTATGACAGAGAATGAAATTAACTGTACTTCTTGAGACACTTGCAATTTGGTTGTTTGAGTGTTTTGTTTATTGATTTGTCTGCAATATAACAATTAGCTGAAATATTATTTACGAATTAAGAATGATTTAACTTTCCAACCTTGTTGTTCTTCTCGTGTGGACTGTGACACTGTTTAGTTCCTAGTTTGGTTTGGTTAGTTCCTCATTAGTAGCTCAGAGATCAATCTAAGCAAATCTCAGCTTTTCATACAGATTTTTCACTTTATACAGCTAAATTATGACATTTCTGTTGAGCTTGGCTTGAATTCAGATTTCGTTTTTTTAAAACTAGAACGAGACCAATAATCATATATATATATATATATATATATACACACACACAGTGGGTACGGAAAGTATTCAGACCCCCTTAAATTTTCACTCTTTGTTATATTGCAGCCATTTGCTAAAATATATTAAAATAAATAATAGTGTTTAATGTTATTATTGTTTCAGTCTAATGTGTCAAAAATAAGAAATACATTTAGTTCTTCATTTGGTTGTTGGAGGAAAATATAAAAAAAATATTGATCTGTGGTTTAATATTTAATAATGCCTCAGGTTCGTGCGATTGATGTTTTCTTAAGTCAAGTCACCTTTATGTATCAAAATCAATGATGCAATCAAAATATGAGAGACATCCAAATTCTGATCCAAATCAGCTCTAACAAAACAGTAGTGTCATTAATCAGCTCAAGCCTGTTTAGTATTGTTTCAGTTCAGTTCAATAATTGTGTGAAGTTCATTATGAAACAAGGTTAATTTAGCTATAAGCAACTCTACAGAAGACAATGTTGTTGTTCTTCAGCTTGAGTCATTTCAGTAACAGTATTGATGTTGCAAAATTGGTCAATCATGAAACAAATTTGATTCAGCTATTTAGAATAGAAATTTGCAGTGTCAAATGGTTTTCTATTCAGAGATGTGCAGCCTGTCAACAATATTATGAACTAAATAGTCAACCTGTGTTTGTTTTGATGTTTTCACCTTAGACACCCTCATCATCAAAGAAACCTCTGACCTCTATTTCCTGTCTGCTAACATACTTACATGCACAGGCAAGCGCCGCCAGAAGGTTGTATGCACTTCGCATACGTGAATTCTCAGAAATGTGCTATTTTCTCAGAAGTGGTTTATATAGTCACTGTATTTTCCCATAAAGAGAGACCGAAAGCTCTAGAATGGCAGTTATTTCCTTATTGTCTTAATGCCTAGGTGTGGCTAGAGATCAGTTTATTATGGTAACATTTGTCATTATTACCTAAACCAGTGCTAACCTTTGTTACAACCACCTGGCTCTGAGTGAAGTAACATTACCAAAAGGGGGAGGCCACACCGAAGACTAAGTTTAACAAATAAACATTTAATCAAGAATAAATAAAAGTATAAGTATAGAGAAAGAAGCAAACAAAAAGAAAACAATCCAGGGCTGGAGAGGGAAGATGAACGGCGGCCCAGTCCAGAACACCCACTGCTCTCTGAGGCCATGTTTTAAAGTTTTAAAAGTTTAAAAACGGGTAGTTTTTCCTTCTTCTGTTTTAAAAAAAATCTCCGTCCACATGAAACCGCAAACGCATGCTATGAAGCACTGTCAAGAGCATGCCGAACCAACAGGTGGCGATATAATCTCAACCGTAAAGCCATGTTGGCCAATCAGAAGCCTGAAAAAGTTTCCTGTAGGCGGAGATAACAGCGCAGGCTCCGACGTCACAAGCCAAAAACTCCAGTTTCGCTGTCTACATGATACCACTGCAACCGTAGTTTTTGAAAATCTTCACCCTGGCAGGCGTTTTCAAAAATGTTCGGTTTCAGTAACCTGGTGCTGCGTTTGCGTGTGGACGAACGGCCAAACCGCGTAGAAAAAGCTGCGGTTTTCAAAATAACTGCGTTCGTGTGGACAGGGTCGAATCTCCATCTTTTAAACCCAAACGCCAATCACAGGTAACACTCCACACCTGTACCTGACGCTTGCTCTGAAAGTTAAGTTGTTTAAGTTGTAAAAGGAAGTGTCGTCTTCTCACCAGGACTGCATTTATTTGATCAAAAATACAGTAAAACAGTAATGTTGTGAAATGATTCTTTCTTTTTAAAATAACTTTTGTATTTTAATATATTTTCAAATTTAATTTATTCCTGTGATGGCAGAACTGAATTTTCAGCAGTCTTCAGTTTAACATGATCCTTCAGAAATCATTCTAATATAGTGATTTGCTGCTTAAGAAACACCTATAATTATGTTGAAAACAGTTGTGCTACTTAATATTTTTGTGAAAACCATAACACATTTTTCAGGTTTCTTTGATGTTCAACAGAACAGCATTTATTTGAAAAAGAAATCTTTTGTAACAATTTAAATGTCTTTACTTTCACTTTCGATCAATTTAATGCATCCACGCTGAATAAAAGTATTAATTTCTTTAAAAAAGCTTAATGACCCTAAACTTTTGAACTATAGTATAAACACTTTATAATTGAATTGTCTAATGGTTAGCTACATATTTAAAATTTAATGAATGGCTGAAATAAAAAAAAAAAACATCCAAACAAACATTAAATAAGTTACATTGTGAATCCGTTTTTGAGAAACCCTTTAGAAACCCTCCATGAATGCTTTTAATCATATTGAAGAACCAATAAACAGAAAAGTGAATATTAGTAAAAGCTCTTTGTCTCTCTGGTCGCATCAACCAAGGCTTCATCCAAAACTACTACTTTTTCATTTGTTGATTTTAACGGTGAACAGAGATGACAACTGTACAACAAGTCAAATCTTGAATGTTATTTAAAAAAAAAAAAAAAGGTTTGCTGCGAGAGTGTGAACTTGAGTTTTGTTTTCCAACATTTTTAATCTTACAACTAACTACAGTTCAGACATTTATTTGGGCAGCGTGAACTAGCTTTCAGACAAGCTCTTAGAGGCTCCAATAATCATGATAACACACTGTATCATTTGGTTGTTGTTTGGCCGAGTTAGCACAATAACTTAAATTGGTTTGACTTTAAAATGACCTGTGATTTATTATTGCTGGGCCATAACGTCTATAAACTAGGTACAAATAGATGATCACAACAGACTTTTTTGAATATGACCCTCATTCTGACACCAAAATCAAAACGGTCTGAATTGATCCTTTCCTGGTGTTTGTGGCTTTTAGGTGACTGTGAGGAAACCAAAAGAACATTTTGCTCAATCAACCTCTGTTGATGTTCTTCGTAAAGTTGCATTAAGAAAATGACAGTACTGTCATTTCCTGCCTGTGGTTTTTCCAGAGTGGAGAAAGCTGTCAGTATTCACATCAGTGAGGGTGAGAGTGAGTGAAATTAAAGGATAATCTGTCCACTGTTCCCATCTAATCCTGATGACACATGACATGAGTCTCCGCTTTGATTGTTCTCCAGAATCAACAGTTTGGGCCTCTGGGACAGAAGAGCCATGTAGTTGTGACAGTTCATAAATTGCGTTATCTGTCTGGGAGAGGAATACATCAGTGTGAAATCTGGATTAAAATGAAAGGGCTCATCAAGTCTATTTCCTACAGAGACATTTTAGATTTTAATAGAACCAGTTAAATGACACAATGACTGACAATGTACTTGGAGTCAAATTTGCTCACCCAGCAAATTTAAAGAGTCTATCAATCAGAGTACAAATTGGGGCATTATAACTGATGTCATGTCCTCACTTATTGCTCTTACTGTAAAAACCTACATTTTTAAATGAATCATTCTCTATATAACATTATGAACCAGCTGCTTAACTATGTCAATACCCACCTTGATGACTGAATGTTTGTACTGTGTCTTGTATAGAAGCCTGTTTAATATATATATATATATATATATATACATATATCAATCACTTAACCTCAAATTGTTCAAAACCTGTATGAGTTTTATCTGTTGAACGCAAAAGAAGATATTTTGTAAAATGTTGGTAATCAAACAGTTGACAGTAGACATTGGCTTCTATAGTATGGAAAAAAAATATTGTGGAAGTCATTGTCTACCATCAACGGAGTAAGTAAATTATGAATTTTCATTTTTGGGAGAACTATCTCTTTAAAATAGATTTACAGTATAGCATGTTATAGTGCATATAGTGCAAAGAGTTTTTAATTTTGACCTCAGGAATGAAATGTATAGGAGCTGTATGGATGGATAAAAGATGACATAGTTGATTGGATTCCCAATCTGTGCAGTACTGATACATCATTACTCTCTCTTTAGGAACTGACTGATCTGGGCCGGGACCCTCCAGCGCAGTGCTCAGCAGGACCGGTTGGAGATGACTGTGAGTTATTTTGCTCTTTGTTTTCATTACTTGCCTCAGAGCATGTCACAGAGCTCACCTTAATGAGACATTTTTTTTATTCTTTATTTGCAGTGTTTCACTGGCAAGCAACAATTATGGGACCTGTAAGTGGATATATGTTCTTATTGCATATGCATATTAATGATGAATTGTGACATTTATTTGCATGTGATATCTGCATTATTTTACCACTGCATTCACTGTCAAGTAACTTTGCTCTGTTGTTTGGTCTTTATTTCCTTACAGAATGACAGTCCATATCAAGGGGGTGTGTTTTTCTTGACCATTCATTTTCCTACAGACTACCCTTTCAAACCACCTAAGGCAAGAATAATTAACTATTTAAACAACCTACAGGTTAATCTGGCTGTAAAGAGCAGTTTTTTTTTATTGTTTCATGATATTTTACATTTCCTAGCAGCTTTTTAGCGCATACTATAGTCAGACGACACCAATGTTCCCTCTAATTGTTTTTTCTTGCTGAGCAAAACTTTTCTCTAATCTTCTTCGTGTCCTACGATCTTATATTACATCTTTCCAGTGTGTATCACAACTGATGGCGTGGTAGCTGGGCTCTGCTAGAGCATGATCTGAGCATTGCGGTGCTAGGCTGCACTGCATGAGGTGTTGCATATTTTGCTCGATACCGCACTTGCTGGTTGGTGAGAGACCCCAAGCATGTAACATTTGTAGGCATCTTCCATGGCCTACTCGTAGCCTGTTGAGGGACCTCCAGATAGGCCATGGTTGATTGTTGCCACTGGCTAGACACTCAAAGGGGATGATGAGATTTTCTCTAATGGGCGGACATTTCGACCGTCTGAGGAAAAAACATTCTTTATACCATTCCTGTACAGCGCACACACAAAAATATATATATATTATAATATAATATAAAAACAAACTGAAACATTTAATCTAGTAGAATAGAATAAAAAAGAATAGAATAAAGTAGAAAACAAACTGAGATCTGTAAGCTAAATATTTAAAAAAAATGTCAACATGTGAATTCTTATATAGTTATCCGAACATTCCTATGTAGTAGATTTTGCACACTACTACACCTGTGTGTGACTGTAAATGTATTTTGTGTTTTTTACCAGACAAATGTGTTTTTTACCGTTCTGTGCCCATCATTCACTATTTCCACCACTCTTCTTTACAACACAACGTTTTATTTCACATGTCATTGCGTTTGCGTTGGTTCTTGTGTTGCGCTATTTAGTCCGCAACCATTAAAGTATTTGATTTCTACAGGGACTCATTTGGCGCACATCATTCTCTTTCTATGAAACCTGTAAACCGCATTCACCGGTTTTAACTCTATAGTGACACCAACTCTATAGGAATTTGCCCGAGCATTGCAATTATTTAGTATTTACTAGAATTCAATCAAATGGCTTTCCCAACTCATTTTTGTGTGCAGCTTAGAGGAAACATTGGAACATTCTAAGGATGTACAGTAAAATTTCAATGGTAGGTTTGAAATGTATGTGGTCTGATTGTCTGTTTCACCCTCTAATTTGTAGGTTGCATTCACCACAAGAATTTATCACCCAAATATTAACAGTAATGGCAGCATCTGTTTGGATATTCTAAGGTCGCAGTGGTCTCCTGCGTTAACTATCTCTAAAGGTGAGCCAACAAAAAATAGGAAAACAAAAGCGTTGACTTTAATAGAGTACCTTTTTCTTAAGAGTGTTTTTATGGGATAGTCAAGATGCACACTATGCTATGTGCCAACCTCTCTCTTCTTTCTGTTGCAGTTCTATTGTCCATCTGCTCACTGTTATGTGATCCAAACCCAGATGATCCATTAGTGCCAGAGATAGCACGTATCTATAAAACAGACAATGAAAAGTAAGTATATTTGTGTCTGAAGCCTCATAAATAAAATGTTTACAATTATATACAGTATCTCACAGAAGTGAGTACACCCCTCACATTTTTGTAAATATTTTATTATATCTTTTCATGCGACAACACTGAAGAAATGACACTTTGCTACAATGTAAAGTAGTGTGTACAGCTTGTATAACAAATATAACAATGCAAATTTGCTGTGCCCTCAAACTAACTCAACACACAGCCATTAATGTCTAAACTGCTGGCCACAAAAGTGAGTACACCCCTAAGTGAAAATGTCCAAATTGGGCCCAATTAGCCATTTTCTCTCCCCGATGTCATGTGACTCATTAGTGTTACAAGGTCTCAGGTGTGAATGGGGAGCATGTGTGTTAAATTTGGTGTTATCGCTCTCACTCTCTCATACTGGTCACTGAAAGTTCAACATGGCATCTCATGGCAAAGAACTCTCTGAGGATCTAAAAAAAATAATTGTTGCTCTACATAAAGATGGCGTAGGCTATAAGAAGATTGCCAAGACCCTGAAACTGAGCTGCAGCACAGTGGCCAAGACCATACAGCGGTTTAACAGGACAGGTCCCACTCAGAACAGGCCTCGCCATGGTCGACCAAAGAAGTTGAGTGCAAGTGTTCAGTGTCATGTCCAGAGGTTGTGTTTGGGAAATAGACGTATGAGTGCTGCCAGCATTGCTGCAGAGGTTGAAGAGGTGGGGGGGTCAGCCTGTCAGTGCTCAGACCATACGCCGCACACTGCATCAAATTGGTCTGTTGGGCCCAATTTGGACATTTTCACTTTGTACTCACTTTTGTGGCCAGCGGTTTAGACATTAATGGCTAAGTTATTAGAGTTAACTCAACTAATGGTTGAGTTATTTTGAGGGGACAGCAAATTTTCACTGTTATACAAGCTGTACAGTCACTACTTTACATTGTAGCAAAGTGTCATTTCTTCAGTGTTGTCACATGAAAAGATATAATAAAATATTTACAAAAATGTGAGGGGTGTACTCACTTCTGTGAGATACTGTATTAAAAAAGAAGCTTATTTTAATAAAATACATTTTTACTGTTTTCATCCAGGCTGATTGTTTTTTTTTAGCTGGTTTGAATAATAGAGATACCTTTTAGGTAGTGTGAATTGCTAGTTTGATGTCTCCTCTCAGGTATAATAAACTAGCCAGGGATTGGACAGAGAAATATGCGATGTTATAGGGATTAAGGTGAGCAAGGCATCATGGGAGAGTGTCTTTGTGTGAGCATGAAAAGAGCTTACTAATCTCTGGACATCACCAAGGTTGCAGTACTGTTGGTCACTAGTTAGCATTCCTACTACTGGATGTGCTAATGTTATTGATGGCCTTCATAACTGGATGCAGCTTTTGAAAATTGTATTACATAGTAGACAAGCACTCAGAAATCATTCAGAAATTTGGGTTCATTAAGATTTTTTCAATACTTTTATTCAGCAAAGATGCATTAAATTGATCGAAAGTGACGATAAAGACATTTATAAAAAAATTATATTTCAAATGTTGTTCTTTAGAACTTTCTTTGCATCATAGTATGTTGAAAAAAATCTACCACAGTTTCCACAAAAAAATATTTATCAGCACAACTGTTTTCAACATTGATAATAATAATAATAAATGTTTCTTGAGCAGCAAATCAGCATATTAAAATGATTTCTGAAGGATCATGTGACACTGAAGACTGGAGTAATGACTGCTGAAAATTCAGCTTTGCCGTCAATAAATACAATTTTTAAATAAATTAATTAGAAATCAGTTATTTTAAATTGTAATTATTTCTCAATATTACTTTTTAATTCAATAAATATACTCTTAGTAAGCATGGCAGTGGGAAATAAGAAATGTTTGTGCATAATTTGGTGTGGTTCATAACTCACCTAGGATGGTGAAAATGTCTTATGTGGTTTTCCTGCATCATTTTTATTTATGCATTATTAATTTGGTTGTGGTTTAATTCATTTCCATAACTGGAAAAGTCCACTTGAAAAATTATATAGAAATTCTGTGTATGAAAAAAAGAAGTGGCTCACACACATGCCAGCCAGTTATGGCCCATTTATGTTTTGTTTTGTATTTTTTTTTATAGAGAGTGACCCCGAATAGTAAATAATATTCATTTCAATAATATAGTATATATTATACTGTTATAGTAGTATAATAAATATCTTTAACGTGCGTGAATAAATCCAACCACCCTTGTGACAGATTTGAGTTTCACTTTCCATTATCCGTGACCAACAGAGGAGCATCTTGGCAGCAGGGATTTAAATCTTTAACAATGTCTGGGATAAGATTTCTTTATTTTCATTTTATTTATTGATCACTCAGGGTTATCTAATTTAACTCTTCGTGGCTTGTGTTTTGAATACACATTCGTTTGTACACATTCGTTCTGCACCTTGTGACTTGATTCTGACTTTTGTTTTAGAAAGGTATATTCTGTTCTAATTTAATTCTGTAAATTCATTCTTGATTGTTTTTCAGTGCATCGATGTTGCGCTGTACTTAGTGTGCTTGCACAGGCAATTTAACCAATTTAATTGGATTTACCGACATGTGAAATGCAAATCCTGTCTGCAGTGTGGCCTTTCTGAAGTTACTTGTTATTTTTTAGGTTTATTGATCCAAAATGTATTTATTCATTTTCTTCTATATCTTTGTGTGATGTTTCTGTACATTGTGGCTTTAAAATGTTATGAGGAATCGTTTTATGAATATTTATACACCGTGCCTTTCATTTCAACTTAAAAAAGATAAAAAGGCATTGTCAGTTTTGTTTATCACTTGAGAGGCAGTTTTGGTGGCTTTATTAGAGAGTTGTTTTTGTGTGCTGTGTGTGAAGGAAACCCCCCCCACACACACGATTCAACTATCAGTTGATTATGGGCAAGACTTGACAATTCTGATTCGACTATGTAAATCCTTAGTCGGGGACACCCCTAGCTTTATCATAGGATTAATGACAGAAGGTTTAGTTGAGGTAAACATTTCAGGCTTTTACTAGCACCAAAGTAAACAACAGAAGGAATGTTTAGAGTTGCAGTGTAGAAGTGAAGAGGATGCCACTGTGTTTGACCTTGAGTCGTTTCTGCACTCTGTGTTTATGTTGGTGTGAGCCAAGTTGGCAGATGGTCTGCTTACCCAGCATGTGTGACACTGCATCTGCAACAGCGTTTGCACCAATGCCACACTTCATTTCTCTTTCTTTCTTTTGCACAGGTACAACAGAATAGCTCGGGAATGGACTCAAAAGTACGCCATGTGATACCTGAAGAACATCAGACCAATCTGCAGTATAGCTGGAAAAAAAACTTTTTTTTTTTCTTCCCCTCAATGAATTGACAGCTCCCCGTGTATTCAGACCATAGCAGTTCTGCTTGGTTATTTTGACCCCCTTCAACCTTCATTCACATGCTGTAAAAAAAAGACCACAACATTGCAAAGATCACCAACTTTATGTTCAGAAAAATGCTCGTGTCAAAGAAGCATGTTTTAACTACGAGCTCAGCCATTTTTTATTGAGATAAGAAAAAGAAAAAAAACAACTAAGGTGAAACCATCGAATGCTTCTGACTCATGCCACTGGCTAGAGGTGCTATTTAAGAAAAAGAAACAACGATTCTGAAGGTGCCAGCGTACCACGAGAAGTCGATCTGTTGCTCGGTTGGCCTTCATGTTTTTATATGCTTTTCCAATAGCAATGAGAACTATGGTCTGTGAAATATATTATTGCTTATAACTGACTGTTTCTTACCAAATCAGTCACGTCATTGTATCAGCAGTTACGAAAAATATATATTTTGCATGTTAATAGAACAATTAAGGTAATTGGTCTGTGGTCTGCCAAAAATGAATATCTGCAGACAAAGTTAAGCGAATACATGTCCACTTTTAGAGTCCGAGAACTTATTTTGTTACTCATTTTCTCTCCTCTTTTTGATGTTTTTAGAATGGGGAGCTATTAGTTCGTCTATCCTCCTAAACACTGTTCTCTCATTGCACTGAATATATGTGATTGGAAGCTCTCAATGGATGACCGATCAACTAATAGCTCTACTAGCTGTTCATTTTGTTTGCTTAATAAAGTTGCTAAACTATCATTTGGAGTTTCCTTCTGCAGTGCCATTGAGAGAGTTTTTTTTTTTTTTTTTTTGCTTTGAGAACCTTGATTGTCATCACAATTGGACTTGATTCAATTCTCTGTATTCAATGTCTGAGACATTAATCTGGTACAATAACATTAGGTGAATGGACAGAATTTGACACTATAGTTGTTCGGCCCATGTTTCTAATCTCTCTGAGGTCTCTCAACAACTGCTGGACTATAATTAGTTCTCTGAAGGAGGAACTCCCATTTGTGAGGTGAATAGCAGCTTAGACCCCCTCGCTACCAATGACGTCATTGATATATGTGGACAGATGTAGAGGAGTGCCCATGTTCAATAAGAATTTATTGAGCTTTTTAATCCCCTTACTTAAAAAAGGGGGTTAATTTAATGCATTAATTCTTATGTTTAAGTTATTTTAAATCTTGTTATTATTTATGGTTGAAGCTCACAGACACGTGGCCAGGTCCAAAGGGGGGAAAAATAAATTGTTTCCAGTATACCTTTATACTAGAAGGCATGATGGTAGTACACAAATATGCGCTTGTGTATATATAAAATACGAAAAAAAATTTTTTGAAGTGCATTAAACGTCATGTCAGGGCTTCCCAGACTGGAGTTTGTGAAGCAAAATTTTACAAAAATGTAAAACTAAAATAAATAATTGTAAAATAAAGACAATAAATAAATAAAAAAGATGTGGCTATTAAGAACATGCAAATGTGTTGTTAAATTATTGACTTGTGGAAAATTGACCCGTTCTTAAAAGCAGTATGCTTTGAAAAGACTATAGATTATGAACAATTTGAACAATCTGTCATTGTGTGAATAACATATAATCAGTAAAAAGTAACTAATATCTGACTGCACATTTTAAAATGTAAAATAATATAATTTCAAGTAGGAATATGATTAAGTAGCCTACGCAATCCAGATCAAATATAAGCAGTTACTGTCCACCACTGTATATTTACTGGTCATTGCTGCTAAAAAATACAATTTATGTATTCATTTACTTGTTTGTTTGCTGATCTTAGATGGTTTAAAGAGTCTCCTACCCTGACCTCTCTAGAACCAGCTAGCAAAGCAGCCTGAGAGACCTGTAAACCATTTGAGACTTTTTGTTTTCATATTCAAATATAGTACTGGGTTCTCACACCGGTGTCCACGCGCGGGCGCAAGAGGACGTTTTTGAGAGCAAGACATGTTGAACATAAGTTACGTCACAGGGAATTTCCAGTAAGGAAGTCAAGCTGTCTATTCAAACGATCGCGTAGATCTCGACATGATTTACTGTGACCATTCGCGACAGGCGATTCTAATCGACTGATCGATCTATCGATCTGCCTTTTAACCCCAGTGGATCTTCTGTATATCCATGTCTGGCAGACGCAACAATCATCCCGAATAAGGAACCTGCCTTGAACTGACTTTCTATCAGCTTACATTAGTTGACTTCAGCGCAACATGGAGAAATAAGTTGAAACGAATAGGAAAACTTGATTCTGAATCCCAGATCTCGGCTGTTTGATGTTGATTCTGACCCTCGGATATCAATCAGGAAAGGTAAGCAGCCGCGTAGATCCAGCCATGCTTGATGTCTTTGAGTTGCCCATGTTGCCATCTAAAGGTTGTTGTGATACTGTGTATCAAGTGTTGCTGAACTTCCTACTTCTGCCTCAGAGGCCAAATGCACATTTCAGCTATCAAGGACTTTTGATAAGCTGGTTTTGGGTGAGTACGAACACCTCGTGATGCACATTAATGTGCTTTTGGTGGAATTGTAGTCGGGATCCGACAGTAAAACTTTTGAGAGGCTAATATGTGTTATGCTGGCTGTGTGTCAAAATGTACCAATCCAGTAGCCTATATCTGGGCATCAAGGCGCGTTCGGTCCGAACATCCGGAGTTGATGAGAATAAAAGTTCTGTTCCAACAGTGCTTTTCTGATGTTCCAAACACGAACTGATGCATGCAGTTTGTTTTAGATTAGCGGACATCTATCAAATAGATTTAAAGCCCACAAATGATTTGCTCACTGGTTCCGTTCTGCAGGTCACAACACCAGTAGGCTAGGTGGCGAGACAATTGCGAAGGTTTTTTCCCCCAACCCATTCCCCACAAATCACAACAGATTAGGGATGGCTCGATACCACGATTTTGACTTCGGTACGATACTAGGATCTAATACCTCGGTATCGATACTAAATCGATACCATAGGTGACAAATAACCAGCCTCAAAATATAAGTGAATTGAAAACAATTTTATTAAACGCACTGCTTGGAACTTGTGCAATTGTGCAAACAAAATGTAAAAAAAAAGAAAAAAAAAAACCTACATTGAACATAGGTCAGGAAAAAAAACTGAAGAGATCAAATTAAAATAGGATCATGTCTTCATATCATGCAAAGGTAATATTTGGCAAATGTTGAAAGAATGGGGAGGCTTGATTCATGCCTTTTCCACCGAGAAAGTGGGTTTTCTGTGGCACTGGTCTCTTCCATGGTCTTGTATGTGTGGAGTAGGGCTGCACGATAAATCGCATGCGATATTTAACGCGCATCTTGTCAGAAAGCTGGTTCTGTAATCATCGGTAAATCTCCATCACCTGCGGGTTTTCACATGGAGCGGCATTAACTACACAGAGCCGTTGTTCACTGACAAGCTGCGCAAAACCACGATCATATTTAAGAGTAATATGCCCTTCATCACTATTACTAATACTAAAAATAATATTACTGATCTTATTAAAATAAAAGTCTAAATTAAATCCGTTGAAAGAGACCCATTTACCTGTCGATCTTTTAACTCCTTGAAGAAATCAGGATGAGCAAGTGACAAATGTTCCCATGGCAGCACATGGTTTATAGCAGCGCTTGCAGACTGGTGAATTAAGGTCGGTTGGTTCACCTTTTTCATCACTTTTGTAGGCAAAGTAATGCCATATTTCACTTCTACCGCTTTCTTTATTTATTAATTTCGGACGTGTAGAGTGAGTTTCACCTGTTTTATCCATTGTGGTTTCTCCGTTGTCATGCTTGCCGGTTTCGCGTCAGTTTGGGTAACACTGCCACATAGTGGTGAACTTTGGAACAGCAGCGAATGAAATACGGAATTGAGCAAAATGATGATATCGTACCGTTTGAAATATAATAAATACCGGTATTTTTCCAGTACCGGTATACCGCACATCCCTACAACAGATGTTTTCATCCTTTTTGAAAACAGCCGTGCAAGATTTTTACATAAAGACAACAGTAGTAGCAGTTTTGCCTATAACCATATCATTCATTTTTACACGTTTAATGCTTTGGCCTTCTTCTTGACTTATATAACCAGGCTTTGAAATGACCTTTTTTCACTCACCAGCCAATTTGGATACTACATTTTTTAAGTTACCGGCCATTCATAACTTCTACTAGCCAAAAAAAACAAAATAAAAATAGTTTAAGGCAGTCAACACTAGATGCGACAAATCGACCCTTACAAATCATTTGTACTTTGTGTCAGTATGTAATAGAACGAGGCATCAGTTTACTGTTGGGGATTTGTAGTGTTGCGCCACAGCATCAGTAATTATAATAGGTTCTATTGTATTTTGTCTCGTCGCGTCGCTCGCCTCCTGTAGTGGCCGTTTCGCAATACCAATGCCTTGTCCAAATACCCACACTTGTGGTCTTTGCACTTGGCCACTTGACTACTTATATGACGTAATTCCTGTATTTGGCCCAAGTGTTCAAGTAAGGATAAAGACCACAAGTGTGTGTTGAACTTTTCATTACCTGATGGGACACACTTATTGTGTTGTAAAAATGCAAGTGTTTACATAGCGTTATTTTAATTTTAAATACTTTGCATTTTAAAATCAACTTCTAAATGTCTGTTCAGTCAGTAGTCCCTATAACATGACAGAATTTAATTTGTGGTGCTTCTAATTAAGTGATAAAAATTTCAAAAAGGTTTACAAAATAAATACCACTGCTCATCTTTACACCAATGAAACGTGCAACACTTTGTTTTTCTAGCAAATTATATGTAATATCTATTTATTGTATTAATATACTTGCACTGGAAATGTTTCTGTTGCCTCTCGCGCGATATCGGCAAAACGTCTCACGATTTATTTCCAGATTATAATGCATGATGGGATACACTAAGCCTCGAATAGCGCTTCGGAGCGGTATTCGAGATAGTGTGGATTTAGTGTGCGTTAAGTGCTTTGGCGTTTTTAAAGGGGTCATATGATGCGATTTCAAGTTTTCCTTTCTCTTTGGAGTGTTACAAGCTCTTGGTGCATAAAGAAGATCTGTAAAGTTGCAAAGACTAAAGTCTCAAAATCCAAAGAAATATTCTTTATAAAAGTTAAGAGTCAACCACGCCTATCTAAAACGGCTCGTTCTAACACGCCCCCACATACCTACGTCACTATGTGGAAATATTAGCATAATGCTGCCAAAATGTGCACGCGTTTGTTGAAAACGACATGTTTGAGATAGGCGGGGCATAGAGGACCTACAATAATGTACAGTATTTGAAAAATAAACAGAGGGTTAAAGCATGTCAACATATTCTGTTACACCAAATACACAAAATAATGATCTTTAAAATAGCATTATATGACCCCTTTAAGACCTGGGACAGTCTTGCACACTTACTTCCTGTCGCGCGCATGCGCTCTCAAGTGGCCAAGACCGCAAGTGCGGGTATTTGGACAAGGCACAAGTGCGCAAAGTTTGGACTTGCGTCCTCAGTAGTTCAGACTTTGCAAGTTCGACTCAGAAGTGCGAACTCCCGAGGACGGTAGGACGCAAGTCCGGTAATTCCAAGTAGATATAACTGGGCAGAACCTCCAAAATGAGGCGTGGTCTCCTCGCGCAAAGACTTTCACCATTGGCTCTGGCTCCAGCCAATTGTTGTTGACTTTCAAAATAAAGCTTTATAAATTTAACATTGTTTCTAGTTCATCTAAATTAAAATATGCTATATAAATAAATATTCTCCGTGAGAGCAGAGCCCAGAGCTCGTAGCCAGTGGTGTTCGGACTGGAGTTTGAACCTCTGCTTAATGATATAAACGGGAATCAACCACGAGCTCTCCCGCGAGCCGTCCCGGCACAGCGCAGGGGAAAGATTTTACTCTACTGCTTTGTTTTAAGCAACAGGGGCGTCTCGGGGCTCGAAATTTGCAGGGCAGGAGGGGGTAGTGACGCTGGGTGTAACTAAAAAGGTGCCATTGTCCGCTAAGGTCTGGTTGGGGAGTTACGGAACGATCTCATATCGCATAATCTTAATAACTGTTTATCTCCTGAACTGCATCTTTCTTTACCACGCTATTCAGCGCAAATCCCACCGTGCAGTCCATTTCACTGGTTAATGTTAGGGTCAGGTGTGGGGTAGGTTTAGGGGTTAACATTTTTTGTAGCATAATGTAGGAAATCAACACTTTAATTGACACAACCAATAAAATCTTTAGAATCAGCTGTGGGGCAGAGTTTGCACTGAAGTGGATTGGAGGAAAAATTGTGCATGCGTGTCATGTGCCTGTCTGTCAATGGGAGGAAGCCACGCCCTATTTTGGAGCTCCCACCCTGTTTTGGCGTTCCCACCCCCATTTGGAGATCTGCAAATGCAGTTATACCCTTCTCAGTAATTCTGCAAATGGAACAGCAGCGTACTTGATAACGTCAGTCAGCTTGCCTTGACTACTCTGGTTATCCTAACTGTATGTATACAATACGACAAAATATGATATCAAACACCACTTCTTCTTTTTGTTTTCTTTTAAACATATTAATAGGCGCAAAAATTTAGTTCGGGGAACGTAGGCTACATACATTACAGTGAAATGAAATATATCAAACAGCATTGCCTCTTTTCTGTTTCATTTAAAATATTAATAGCCACAAAAACGTACACGCATTACAATAAAACGAAATGATATCAAACACCTCTACCTTTTCGTTTTCTTCAAAATATAAAACACAACCCTTTTCGTTTTCATTTTAAAAATATAAAACATTAATATGTGGTTTAGGTAATATGTGCAAATATGCTCTTGATTATCTTCACTGAATGTATTATAAAATGAAATATGACAAGCACAACTCTGCCTTTTTTGTTAATGTCAGTTTTAATGAGCAATAATAGCCATTATAAAAGTATAACTATAAAGTATAAGAGACGTATGTAATAGGAAATAAGACAAAAGCAAACAATTCAGTCAAATGTATGCAACAAAGTCAGCGCTGTATTACGATTAATAAATAAATAATTAATTTATGAAACATAACTTTGTGCTCAGCCAAAACGATATGACCTAGAATAAATAATAGATTCATGAGACCAAAGATTTACCCAAAATGTATTATATCTCATGTTTAACCCCTAATCAGATCCAGCGGCAAATGTCAGAAGGACTAGCCGAGGTGAGGCTGCTCTCGGCGGATACATGAGCACTGAGCGCCCGCTGATCGCTTGGAGCTCACGTCTCCAAAATCAGCGAAGCCAATTTTCAAATAGGCGTCATCTTTATAAATAAACTGCAGATTTTAGTTTTAAACAACTA